GGAAGGGAGAGAGATAGAGAGTTAGAAACATCGATGAGAGAGAAACATCGATCAGCTGCCTCTTGCACATCTACTGGGGATGTGCCCGCAACCCAGGTACATGCCCTTGACCGGAATCGAACCTGGGACCTTTCAGTCCACAGGCCGACACTCTATCCACTGAGCCAAACCGGTTTCGGCCACATTTTTTCATAATTAGAATTATATAGTGTTTTTAGTTTTGTTTCCTACTTTCTTCACCTAATTAAATAATTTTTCCATGTCAGAACATAGTCTTTGAAAACATTACTAATGGATCTGTAATATAATTATTATTTGACACTATTCATCATTAGCAATTTCCCATATCACAGCCTAATTTTTAAAAACAAAATTTCTGTGCATGCTTTGGCAGCACATATACTAACATTGGAACAATACAGAGAAGATTAGCATGGCCCCTGCGCAAAGATGGCACAAAAAATTTGTGAAGCGTTCCATATATTAAAAAAAAATTAATGGATTTATAATATGGCTATCATATGACATTGTCATGATTTATTTATGTAGTCTATTTATAAAGATTTTATTTTTTCCTAATCTAAATTAGGATGTAAGCTTCAGAAAGTCAGCATCTAAATTTCAACAAATATGTTTTGTTCTTGATTCTCTCCTTGGTGCTTAACCCAGTGTGTAATATAAGTGGTTTAGAGAATGTTCTGTTAAGTAAATGAACAGTTTCGCACAAAAGTCAGATTGCTTCCTTAAGTTAGAATCAAATACGGGCTCTTACTGGGGTAAAAGGTATAGATTTTTTGAAGTTTCTTGATCATTTATTTTCAATTTGTTCTTTGATTCAGAATAAGAAACAAGGATGCAATAATGAGGAGGTCCTTGCTGTACTAGGCCATGAACTGGGGCATTGGAAGTTGGGACACACAGTCAAAAATATCATTATTAGCCAGGTAAGTTTGGAATGACAGTTCTATTTTTATGGCATGGTATTCAAATTTGAAGTATGGCAGGTATGAGATCATAGAGTAGAGAGGTTAAGACAGACTGTACATCCTGGCCACCTGGCTTCACATCACGGCTCCCTGACTCACTATCTGTGTGACCTCAGGCACTTTCCTGAACCTGTCTGCCTCCATTCCCTTTTTGAATGGTAACACCTCAAAGGACTAATGTAAGTATTAGATGAGTTAATATATGTTAAGAGTTTATAGTAGCACCTGAAAATTGGTAAGTACTATAAAGTATTTATGGTTATCACCATCGTCATCACTACGTCCTGAGTTACTAAACTGGGAACTGTAAGATCAAAAGAAATGAGCTCAAGTAAGTTGGACATTAAAATGCTTTTATAAAAATATTTGTTTTTTCTCATTTAAAAGTCATTATACATCCATTGATAAGAAATTGGAAAATGTAGTGAATATAAAGAAGAAAATAACAGTTCCTGTAACCTTCCTCCTTTGAGTATTAATACCTCTAAACCCACAGAGTGACCACGCATTTGCAGGCTCTGGGTGAAATAGCACTGCATCTTGTTGACTAGAGGCGAGCAATTATGGGCTTAACTGAATCTTAAGTGGGACTTTGTACCTTTCTAAAAGCCATGTGGCTCTGGGTGATGAATTATATGGGAAAATTTATGAATCCTGTAGGTACTTTCCTGTTGCCTTAACATCTTTAGGTATAAAAATGAGTTCCTTGGCTTGAAGCTATGTTGTATGGATACACATCAGTGAGTAAGACTTTAAATAAATCCAAGTTCAGTCTAATAAGGAAAATCACTGCCCTTTTCATGAAAATAGGGGTCCAGTGGAATAGTTTACCTCATATGAGGTTGTGGGCTGGTCCCTAAGGTGTGTGGTACTGGGACTGGGGTTGATTGCCTCCCCTGAGATTGGACACCTAGCAGGAGCCAGTGGGGGGACGTCTTATGTTGTTGACTAGCGCACTGACTCCATCCCTGTCGCCTTGGTTGTTTTGTTCACGAGTCCCTCAACCAAGTTCTTGAGTGACAAATCAGGCATCTTCTCCACCTGATCATTGAGAGCCTCCTCTTGTGGGCCTCTGGGTGAACATTCACCTTAGACCACAGATTTAACACACTCAGACCTCATTTTGGAAGTTTTCCCACATCCCTTTTTTCCAAATCTTGTTAGCCATCCTCTAACAAAGCCCTGATCCAGCCCAACTATTAGTTGTCCACTGCTAGTGAGTTAGCATATATAGCCTCAGCTTGGACCCTCTCCCTCTCTGCTTCCAGACTGAGTGAACGATGATATAAACTGCTTAAAGTTCCTCATGGAGAGTATTTCCTCTTATTTTATTTTATTTTTATTTTCTGGTTAATCCTCACCCAAGGATATTTTTCCGTTGATTTTTAGGGAGAGTGGAAGAGAGAGGGAAAGACAGAGAGGAAACATCAATGTGAAAGAAATACATTAATTGGTTGCCTCCTGCACAAGCCCCGACGAGGGCCAGGGCTGGGGAAGAGTGTGCAGCCAAGGTACGTACCCTTGACCGGGATTGAACCCAGGACCCTTTGGTCTGCAGGCCGACACTCTATCCACTGAGCCAAACTGCCTAGGGCACACTAACACCGTTCTTAAATTCACTCCATGATGTCTTATTGCACTTTTTGGTACTGCAGTGAAATCAGCTTAGTAATAACTTAGAAATTTTGTGTCCTTTCTAGATGAATTCTTTCCTGTGTTTCTTCTTGTTTGCTGCATTAATTGGTCGAAAGGAGCTTTTTGCTGCATTTGGTTTTTTTGACAGCCAACCCACTCTAATTGGACTATTGATCATCTTCCAGTTTATTTTTTCACCGTATAATGAGGTAATGTATAATCTTTAAAATTATCTCACATGTGCCCTTGCCTGTTTCAAATCTAGAACCCCTAGAGTAGTAAAAAAAAAAACACACAAAAACTAGTTTTTAACAAGGAAATGAAACAAAGTCTTTTAGTCCCTTGATTTCCTGGCCAGTATAAAAAAGTAGCAGAAAAACCCAAGCCCAAATAAACAAAGCTTGCATACAGTTAAGGGAAAAAAAGTAGAGAATTAGACTTTAGTAGTATAAACCTTGATGTAATATATCTCAGAGTCTTGGTGGATGGAATGCTGTGCCTTACACCACATATTTACCAGTGCTTGGGTGAAAAATCCATGTGTGAGGGGATAGAACAAATAATTGTGGGTATATGGCTAGATAAGGGAGGCTGTATGATTGTGTTCTCTAACCACCTACTTCAAAATAGCCTTAGGGTCCTACTGCACACCCTCCAAATCAGAATTAGATAATCCTGTAAAATAAAAGCTTACACAGTTGGTTACTGCTTAGGCTGCAGGCTGCCTTGTGGTGGATTGTCATTGCTGTCTTCCATCCCGATTCTGTGTTGCCTTGAGGACACTGAGCTGTGTGTCCTGATGAGCCCAGGCCACGCTGCCTTTGCAGCAGTTGTGCCATTTATTTATTTATTTAACTACTTTTCTTGTCTTCCCTCACAGTCAGGCTAATAATCCTTGGTGCTGTCAATGTGACTTTCCTTTATGGTCACTATCCCTTCTAATGTTCTTTAACCTGCCATAGACTGGGAAATCAGGTAATCATTCCCATTAGGTAAGAGTTACTATATATACATTTCAGGCAGAATTCAGTTTTTAGGTTTGAATTTATCTTAGAAGGTATAAGGAACTGAGGAGAAAGGTCCTCTTGTAAGAAGTGTTAGTAGTTATCTTTTGTGGCATTTAATTGGGCTCCTCAAGGGGGTTCTGTTTTGTTAGTTTCCTTAAATTGAGTAGTTGAGTTCACTTCAAAAAATGTCTAAATAAATATGTGAGGTAGTAAAGTAATTTGAAGTGGTTAATCGACAAAGATACCAACTTTTTTTTTTAGAGAAATATCGATGTGAGAGAAACACATCGATTGGTTGTCTCCTGCACACGCCCTGACCAGGGCCTGGGCCGGGGATTGAACTTGCAACCGAGGTACATGCCCTTAACCAGCATCGAACCCAGGACCCTTCAGTCCGCAGGCTAGGGCAAAGATACCAACTTTTAAAACCTTGGAGGGCCCATAAGATTTGTTTCAAAAAGACTAGAGATTTAAACAAAAAATCTTATTTGTAATGTCAGTGTTTAAGAGGTCATGATAGGAAAGAGATTTTCCTGGGGGAAATTACCCAATTAAGAAGAGTTTGGAAACCTACATAAGAGTAGATAGGTGCAGATTAGTAACTGCTTATGTCTTTATTTATGTGTTACAGTGAGATTCAAATAACACACACTCTATCCTGAAGAGAATATTAAAGATTTGGAAAAAATTTTCAGGCAGAATTCAGTTTTTAGGTTTTGAACATGTGTTAGAATGTATTAGGAACTCCCAGACTTTACTTTGAAACTTATATTTGCTAGTAGAAATAAGAGGACAAATGAGGGACATTTTAGACTTTTTGTTTGTTTTAATGCTGAAGTATTTTAAGATAAGGAATATCTTAAATATCATGTTATTCAACCTGCAATATTTCAGTATAGAAAGAAGTTATTTTTCCCTCAGAAATTTATATTTTAAGATGAAATTTGTCCCCTTCATAGCTGTCACCTATGGAGAGTAGATATTCTAACAACACTTCCATAGCTCAGAACATTTTAGAAAGTTCCATTTTGAGATTGTTATTAGAAGCTGTAGCATATTTTTTAGAATATTCTCAGTAAAGATTGTCATTATCCTTTAAAAGTAGATATATGATCAAGAGTATTTTTTTAAAAAGAGAAAAAAGGGTCTGAATATAAGTGATCATGCCTTCACACTGTCTCTGAGGAAGGTGGTGTGCATGGGCTTTGGAATCACTGAGAATTTCAGCACTACCACCTTCTAGCTGTGTGACCTCAAGCAAGTTATCAACCTCTCTGAGTTTCACCTTCCTGTAAAACAGGAGCAATTGGGGAATATGTAAAATGTCTGGCAAATAGCAGATTCTTAAAAATTAGTATTTTTTGGTCAGGATCATTTGGATCTATACCTGTTTCTGGTGTATTTGCTTGGGGTGGGGGGAAAGCTCAATATATAACAATTCCCTCATCCTAGGTTTCTTAAGTACTAGTGATCTTTCTTGAGCCTGCTGTTCCTCTTGTCCTGAGCAGAACTTCCTCTGCAGTCTTAGCTCTTGAAACCTTCAGTGACAACAAAGAAGTGGGCAGCGGTTAAAACCCTTGTATTTATTTTTTCAGGTTCTTTCTTTTTGCCTAACAGTGCTGAGCCGCAGATTTGAGTTTCAAGCTGATGCATTTGCCAAGAAACTTGGAAAGGCTAAAGACTTATATTCTGCTTTAATCAAACTAAACAAAGATAACTTGGGATTCCCCGTTTCTGACTGGCTATTTTCCATGTGGCATTATTCCCACCCTCCACTAATCGAGAGACTTCAAGCTTTGAAAAATTCTAAACAAGACTGAGTTTCCCAGCTCCTGCAACTGACGGCATTTCTAATTATTTCTGTCCTGACAGCATGTTCCGGCTCTTGATGTTTTTAAACTTTTCTTTTTAAAGAAAACTATTAAGTACAGAAAAGACCAGATTTAAATATTTTTAATCCCATTTCAAAAATTATTTTAATAATCCATTTCTCAATGAAAACACTGGATGAAGTTTTAAGGCTTGTACTTTAACATTGAATTTACCATCAACTTGTAGAAAAAAATCTTAAGTGGATTTTTAGAGAGAGAGCAAGAAACCCTGATTTGTTATTTGCGCATTCCTTGGTTGATTCTTGTATGTGCCCTGACTGGGGATCAAACCTGCAACTTTGGTGTGTGGGGATGATGCTCTAACCAACTGAGCTACCCGGCCAGGGCCATCAATTTGTAAGTTTTTTGAGCCATGTATGGTGTTTGGGGGCATATATTTAAAAGAGGACACACCACCTTGAGTCCTATCTGTAATACAGAAACTGCTTTCGAAGCACTGCTCATACCCAAGTTGAGACTCGTTTTTACTTTCATGCTGTAATGATTTAACCTGGCCAATCAGTGTTTTAAATGAGGAAGAAAGATAATTGGGAAGACTGATGTTGTTTAAATGAAAGTGGTTAGAAATATGCCCTATTTTACCAAATTTCTCTGTCCCCTCTCTTGCTACAAATTGATCAAGAATTTCCAATAGTGCTTTGAAATTATGTGTAGAATGTTTTGAATCATTGGGTTTTAGTTTTGTTTTTAAGAAAATCTTAGTCTTTATCTTTCCTTCCACCTGGTTAGTATAATCAGATCCATTAGCAGTAAACTAGTATTTTTCAAAACATTCAGCTTTTTCCTCATTCATACTCTTTTATTCAATAGGTGGTATATCCTTTCACTTGGCAGAAATTGCCATATTGAACAGATTTTGCTATTTTTAAAATGATAGAATGTGGAAAGAAGAGAAATAATATTTTAAGAGATATAAGGGTGAAAATGCTGATTCTCTTATAATATTATAGGAAAATATATAGTTTTCTATCTCTTTCAAGGACAGAAGAATTTCGGTTTTTATTTTTATAATTTTTATTAGTAAGTTGTAAGTACTATTTAATCGAGCCTGGTTGCATTTTTTAAAATTACACTTCTTGATATGCTGATAATTTTTCCTTTTTAAAACAAATGTCACAAAAGATTCTCTTTAAGTTTAAAAAGCTGCATGTTTGCTTCAAATCTCTGTACACTTCCTGTATGAGAACTTTGTGGCTGTACTGCCACCCACGGGTAATGCTTACCTTCTGGGCATTTATTCCAAAGTGGGATCTACTGTGCACCCTTGGTATGTGGCCAGAAAGTCTTTTGCTCAGCTCATAGAGTGCTGTCTAGTTGAGTACAGCATTATTTATTTCCCCAAGGCTAAAGAGGAGCAGTCCTGTGGTTTTATCCAGCTTTGTCGTGGATCCATGCTGTGTTAACTGCCTTTCCTCCCTTCTGTGCCTTTAAAACAAATTTTAGTTCCGCACAAATGAAACATTAAAAATTGCCAATTACAGATTGATGTACTTTGTCTTTGATTTGACAAAATTTGTGCGTCATTTGTCACCTAGCTTTGTTTATTACCTAGAGAACTGAGTTGCTAGGACATGAACAGTGGGAAGGAACAGCCCTGGTGCTGAGTGATGTTGCCACCATCACCATGCCTCACTCACACAGGCCTCTTCAGAGTCTGCCTCCTGCTGCACTTGTGTGTCAGAGCGTTACAAGTTTTTACCGGTGTTTTCTCAAGCGTCATTCGGAACCATTCCTTCTCCGCTTTCATGACTTCCAGTTGTCTTGGGCCTGTGTTGGTCTGCTCCAGCTGCCTCTTTGGTCTTCCTTATATGTAACAGTAATTAGCTTAATTGTATATAATTAATATGTAATTGTTTTCATCTGGTCACCTACAATGTATGGATGGCAGAGGCATAGGGGAGGCCAGAGCATCCTGGTAGCTTCCTGAGTTTTGCCCAATTAGGGGAAGGCGTAGGGAGGCCA